GTGGGTGTGTGTGTGTGTACGTGTGTGTGTGGGGTGTGTGTGTGTGTGTGCACGGGTGTAAGAAAAAAAAAAAACTTTTTGGCAAGGTGATCACACGCCGAGACCCCCCCCCCTCTGCTCTCAGCAGACAGACAGACAGACAGACAGACAGACACACACACACACACACACACACACACACAAACACACACACACACAAACAAACAAACATATACATGTACAAGCACAAGCACAAACTGCACACCTGCTGCGCAATCTCAATGTCATGCGGAAACTCTGCCAGAGCCCAGGCCACCACGCCCTCGTTCTCCCTGGCAGCGATGGCGCACGCACACAAGCATGAGCAAGGCGGGTGAGCCCACACACGCAGTTGTTGTGGAACGAACAGGTCGCCTCCGTGACCATGATAAACGACACACACACACACAACACAAACACAACAGAACGCGCACGTGTACACGGTGCGTACTCTGGGTTGAAGGAGCACGTTGAGTAGACGAGGGTACCCCCCGGTTTGAGAAGACTGCCACGTAACGCCAGCAAGCAGCAGCAGGTGAGAAGATGGCGCGAGAAAGAAGGAGGATGTGCGTGTGTGTTTGTTTGTGTGTACGTGTGTGTGTGTGTGTGATGCGAACAACTCACACGGCGCGTGTGTCACCTGGACTCAACAACAACAACAACAACAACAACAACAACAACAACTAACATAAACAACAACAACAACAACAACAACAACAACAACAACTTAAACAACAACAACAACAACTTAAACAACAACAACTAAACAACAGCTAAACAACAACTTAAACAACAACTTAAACAACAACTTAAACAACAACAACATGCATTGTCATTATTACATCGTCGTCCACTCACGCAACCGCTGTTCGGAAGAGCTTCTTCTGGAACGACGGGGCCTCAATCACATCTGTCAGTGGCGTGGCGTGCTCAAACTTCGGGCGTTGGCCTGGAGTGTGTGCGTGTGTGTGCGTGTGCGCGTGTGTATGTGAATGAGCAAGACAGGGTGCATGCGTGTGTATGTGTGATTGCGCGACACAAAATACATGTGTGTGCGAGTGTTTGTGAGCACGTGATAATGTGTGGAAAACAAGCAGGCAGGCACGCAGGCAGGCAGGGGTGTGCAGCAGTGTCGTGTGAATGGGGCCAAGGCAAGTTTGCTGGCTGGGCGAGATGCAAGACACAACATCGGCAGTGACAGAACAAACCAAGGCCGGTGCACGGGGCATCCAGTAATACGCGATCCACACTCCCAGCTTGCACCTTCTTCTTCTCCACTGCCTGAGATGACGACGATGATAATGAGGATGATGATGGTGATGGCGACGATTGGGGTAATGCCTGCAGGCAACACTTGCGGGCGTCCATTTTGAACACTGAGCAGCAAGTCACGCCCACTGTCTCCAGCCATTGCACAAGCGCTGCACACTGCATGATGCAACAAGAGAGAGAGAGCAGTAACAAGTGGGACAGAGAAGGGAGAGTGTGTGCGGGTGTGTAGCAGAGAGACAGCAGAGACAGCTGGTCATGTACGAACATCGATCAACGCACATGCACAAACATACACACACGCACACGAACACGCACACACACACACACACACACACGAACACGCACACACACACTTGCACACATGCACACGAACACACACACACACACGCTACCGCATACCCTTTTCGTGCTTCGCTCGTATGCGGTGATGCGCCCTGTGTTGTTCATGAGCGCGGCAATGTGGGCCGTCTTGCCGCCAGGCGCTGCGCACATGTCCACCACATGCTCGCCTGGCTGCGGTGCAAGCACGTGCGATGCCACGCAGGATGGCAGGTTCTGGAGCACAAGCGACCGGTCCAAGTGGCCAAGGCACGGTGTCTGAAACTCGATATCGCCCATCTCCACGCCGAGGCCGCTGGTGACCGCGTCGGAAGACCTGAACACGTCTGCGCGGTCAAAGTGGGCGATGCCGTTGCCGACAAACACAATCTTCTTTGCAGCCCTCTCCTCCGCCGGCGGCAGCTTGGTTTGGCCGGTGCTGCACGCCTTGTGCACGTCCGCATACACGGCAACGCGCGCGCCTGAGTGCACGCCGCTCGAGCACGCCCTGATCCCCGGCACAAACACATCGGAGCCACGAAGCACAGCTGCACCGCACGCGGCGTCCACGACAACAAACAGGCCTTCCTTGTCCGGAACAACGCGTCGCGGGCCAATTGCCGGTAGAATCAGCACATCATCGAGCTTGGGGTGCTGCTCAAACTTGTAGTCTGTCCCCTCAAGCTCCCGTGCCAGTGTCTGGATGGCCTCTTCGCGCGTGTTCACGAGCGTGTTAATGCGCAAGCACGTGTGCGCAGGTGGGATGGCCAGCCGCTCACACAGGTCCGCAAATCTTTGTCCCGATGCCGATCGATCCCACACCTCCTCCAAGTACTCTGCAACATCATCCCTAAACTCGCACCGCCTACCACTACTGCTTTGCTGGTGCTGCTGGTCGTGCTGCTGGTCGTGTGTTTGCGGCGTGCTCATCATCGATGGTGGTGGTGCCGTTACTATTTTTTGTGGTGTTTAGAACCGCTGACCTTCTCGCACTGCTGGAACTCGCGAAGATGGTGCGTTGTGTGGGGTGGTGGCTGCATAAGATCGGCTCTCGCTTCTGCCCTGGCTCTGCCCTGGCTCTGCCCTGGCTCTGCCCTGGCTCGCGGGTGGCTGGCGCGCTCACCTTTCGTTGCTTGGGTTGCTTGCAGGCCTCTGCCGCTGACCTGAAGACAAAGGGCAACGAGTACTTCAAGAAGGGCGAGTACAAGGATGCGCTCGCGCAGTACCGCCTCGCCCTGCAAGCTGCCGACGTGACCTCGGACATCAAGCTTGCTGCACTCAAGAACTCCGCTGCTTGCAACCTCAAACTGGTCTGTGTGCGTGCGTGCGTGCGTGTGTGTGTATGTGTGTGTGTGTGTGCGTGTGTGTGTGCGTGTGTGTGTGCGTGTGTGTGTGTGTGCGTGTGTGTGTGCGTGTGTGTGTGTGTGTGTGTGTGTGTGTGTGTGTGTGTGTGTGTGTGTGTGTGTGTGTGTGTG